CCTCGATCAGATCAATCGGTAATTTTAGGGTTAGGAGGGAATTTTCAGTTGAATAGAAGTAACCATGGGCAGTTTACAGAAAGTGTATGGTAAGACAAAACATTATACTGTATTCTATTGTAGTTCTACCTAAAAATCTGGTGCAAACATATATAGATATATATAAACGTTTGTCCTGAATAACCATAATGATACATCAAAGTTACCCACACTATCCTCAACGTACATCCTCCAGGGTCAAAGGTAACACGGTGATTGCTGTGCCGGGATCGGCGTTTATGGTCTTGGACCTTCATTGGAAGACTATAAAAGTGTTATTCTGGCTTACATAGTTTTAAACTTTCAAAAGCCCTCCTTTATCCACTGTCTTATACACAGTAGTGCGCACAATACATTTTGTGTTTTCTAACCTGTATTTCACCGAATAATATCGTTGAAGAATCAGTCTCAATATAGCATAGTCAAGGTATGTGTGTGTATATCGAGCCAAATTATGATAACTTGGTAAGCAAGACGCACGACTACTGCTATGAAAACTGAGTCTTCTTTAGAAGTTGCTTAGTCATCAGAGATATTATATCGGAGCTGGAAAGTATTTTATTTATTTTTGTTTTTACTGGATTGGTAAAGTTTTTGATGAGGCTTAATTGTCGTAAATGACACTAGGTGTTGCCCCAGAATGGTCAAGATTAGTTGAATTTCTGCTTTCTCATTTCTATATAGTTGATTGGTGACATCCTGATGTCCTCCAGTGGGTCAGCGGTAAGTTAACTGACTTAAAACCCTAAAATGTGGAGTTTAATTCCTCGCAGTGGACATTGCGCAAATAACCCGTTGTGTAGCTTTACACTAACAACAACAAATTATTGATTTTTATTGATCTTCTACTTGGGTGCAGGATTCAAATAGGTGGTTCTCGTGTCATTGAAGGTTAACTTAATAATCCATTTCTTGTCGTTTCAGAGTTCAAATAGGTGGTTCTCGTGTCGTTGAAGGTTTAAGTTAATGATCCGTTTATTGTTTTTCAGGGTTTAAATAGGTGGTTCTCGTGTCATTGAAGGTTAAGTTAATAATCCATTTCTTGTCGTTTCAGGATTTAAATAGGTGGTTCTCGTGTCATTGAAGGTTTAAGTTAATGATCCGTTTATTGTTTTTCAGGGTTTAAATATGTGGTTCTCGTGTCATTGAAGGTTAACTTAATAATCCATTTCTTGTCGTTTCAGGGTTCAAATAGGTGGTTCTCGTGTCGTTCTATTTAAACCCTGAAAAACAATAAACGGATCATTAACTTAAACCTTTGTGGTTCTCGTGTCATTGAAGGTTAAGTTAATGATCCGTTTATTGTTTTTTAGGATTTAATAATCCATTTCTTGTCGTTTCAGAGTTCAAATAGGTGGTTCTCGTGTCGTTGAAGGTTTAAGTTAATGATCCGTTTCTTGTTACTTTGATTTGTCTGAAAATTCTGAAAGTCGTTTAATCAAAACGTTTCCCCACACAGTCATTTTTTCCATCACCACGATATTAAATGTGTAATACATTGCAGATGTAGGGTTAAAACAGGTTTAACTCATATCAACGAGAATTAATTTGTCTTTGTTTTTTTTTTGCTGTGACTGGTTAATTGTAATTCGGTTTATTTGAATCTCCTGCCAACAATTCAAGACTGACACCATGTAGAGAAGATGGGGACAGACCATCAAGAAACAAAATATACAATATAAGATAAATTAAGAATGATCGAAGACAACAATGTTTTTTTTATGAATATTTTATATATGATTAGTTTATGTGTCTGTAATTTGTTTGTCGATTCTTGCGCAAACTACTCGAGGGCTGTCTGTGTTAGTCGTTCCTAATTATGACGTTATCGAGTATACATATGTAAAGCAGTTAGTCAACACGACCCATGGCTTCAAAGTGCGTGGCATGATTTTTATTATTTTGGGGCTTATGGGGCGCGAACTTCGGATCCACAGTAAGGCTCTAACTGCTGGTCAGCGCTTAGTCCATTTACGTTATGTTCCTTTTTTTTTTTTCGCGGCTTCAGAAACAGAAACTGTTAACGTAAACGGTACCATATGAGTAAGTGAACTACGCGAAAAGGTCAAGATTCCTAGGTTTCAGCTATAGACAATCCTAATTTTGATCAGCCAATAAATAGCCCCCACCGCCGTAAGGACTTTGTCCAGCTATTTAAGCTGTATAATGGGATTGACTAGCAATTTTTCATCGCACCCAAAGCTAAAAGTGGGGAGTGTGTCCAGTGGCCATCATGCCTCGATCCCGGACTTTCGTTCCGCAGCCCGAAACACTAACAAATGTAGAGTTTATGATTTTTAGATGTCGTTTAAAAGGAGCGATAAGAACATTGATCTAATGAGACGATGTGCTATCACGAAAGCCAAATGTCTTAGTTCTTTGTGTAATGCCCCCCACCCCCCAGTGGCACAGCGGTATGTCTGCGGACTTACAACACTAGAATACGGGTTTCGATACCCGTGGTGGGCAGAGCACAGATAGCCCATTGTGTAGCTTTGTGCTTAATTACAAATAAACAAACCAAACTTGTGTAACAGCCTTCTGGTGGCTCAGCGAAAAGTCTGGGGGCTTATGACGCTAAAAATCGGGTTTCCAATACTCGTATTGGGCACAGCATAGACATGACATTGTGTAGCTTTTCGATTAACAACAAAAACAAACAACCTTGTGTAATAACATTACATATGAAGATATAATAGGGTAAATATAGCGTTAAACACTAATATTTCTTTAAAGATCAGTGTATCCTGACCTGTACAACAATCTTAATCGTTACTGACACTATAGAAAAATAAAAAATAAACATATATCGGTAACTTCAAATACAAATATTTATACAAAAGTATAAAAAAGCGATGGCCAGTTTTCCAAAATTATTGAGTATATTGTAAAAATTAATATCGCTGGAAAATCTTCAGGAACTATATATATATACTTAAGAAATTCAACTTAGTGAAAGTTCGGTAAAAACCATCAAACCGATGCTCATTTGAAAGATTCTAAAAGACTTTGTATGCTTAAGGATACCGCTGTAACCTTTGACATGACGTAGCCTACTGGTCAACGTTGTCGTCAAAATGATTTCCGTACTTTGAGTTCATTGTATAAGTAATGATCAAATCTCACTATTTGGTCAGACAAGAAATACCATGCCATTACTTTTTTATGCACATAAAATGCACGCTAATCAAATTCCATAAATATAATGTGAAACGGACAGAAAACGGCGGAAAAAAACTACATGACCTGCATTCTGCTAACACATACTACCTGATGATGACAAAACCTTGTCGAAGCGTTGTACATTTGCTATTATGTTAAACTTATATTAAAGTTTTCTTCATTACCCATTCAAGCCGTCTCCAATAGTATTAACAATACACTACATAATGGTAGTTGATATACATAACAATCAAAATTTTGGGAGATTGGATATTAATGAACAAAATAAACATTTATGAAATGAATCATGCTAGCTCATATTATGAGAAAGTTTACTATCATTCTTTGACCACCACAGTTCCTATATATATCAATATATCACTTTTCATCAGTCCAACTAAGTCAAAGGGAAAAATTATCCTTATGTAGGTCAAGACAGTATCTATTGTGTGAGGTTTACTTGTAAAGAACTTTTCATACTTTTTAAATTTTGTTTTATATTACAATAGTTGAAAATCAAACCATGAATATAATAATTAGCTTTTCAAGCCAACTCAATTATAACAACCATATCCAGAAAACTGAATTCGTGATAGGTTTTTTTTATATCACAATTGGCCTGCCATCTGTTGGTCAAAATATTCATTTATCATATAATATCAGGACTGGAAAGCGTAACGCTTAGTGGAACAGCGGCAAGTCTGCGGACTTACAACGCTAGAAACCGGGTTTAGATATCCGTGGTGGGCAGAGCACAGATAGCCCGTTGTTTAGCTTTGTGCTTAATTACAAACAAACAAACTGGAAAGCGTTGCTTTTTATTAATTATTATAAAACCGTATTTTAAGTTTAAATACATACATACATGATTTATTGAAATAGCTTATACTCAATATTACTAAACAGACAATTAAATTCACATTAAAACAGGTTTCGAATTGTTTTTGATGACTGAATCCTCAACTGTACTCCAATGTATAATACAAAATTTACTTTAATTATGAAAGTTTTAGTTTTCGTTAGTTTATGCAGTTTAACTTGTATTAACCAAACTAATAGAATCGCATATAAGGTAGGAATAGAATAGATAAAATATTATTTAGACTTTGCAATTAACTAATATTAATTACTTGCTCTACGTCGGACTTTGTCTTTACGATGCTGTTCTAGGCTTTATTTTAAATATTTTACTATTTTGTCCACTAGAGGGAGGTTTCTCTATGTTGATGGCCCAACGAATCCACTGGTGGCTTTATCTTGGTGATCCTCTGGAAGAGATCTCGACAGGAAACCTAAGTTCCTTAAGCAGGTCGACTTTCCATAAATAAAAATCTTATCAGGAGTTACTCAGCTTTTCTCTCAATGACGTACTTTCAAAGAAGATCACAGTGGATGGCCTTTGGCTTGGACTACCTGTCCTTCTGGATTCTGTAAACCACACCATGGATCCTTGTTAGTACAACAGTTGGTTCTTTCTAACACCTATTTAACTTTGGAGTTCGTCTTCTCTTGCTGATTATGTACCCCAAAAAATGAAACAATTCCTATTTATCAGGATTCATCTTAAGCTTTCCTTACCTCAGAGAACCGGAATAGAACTTTCCTTAGCTTATCACAAGCATTATTAAACATCTTTCCATATATGATTGTGTCAAACAAGAAAATGAGTACGACCTCCAAAGGTAGTTTGGAGAGAGCACACTCTATTAATCATTGAAATGTAGCAATTGCATTGCTTAAATAAACCAAATGGTTACATAAAACTTGTCACAATCCATTTCATGCAATAGAGGCCGTCTTTACGCTACTTGTTTTGTTGGTTTGCAGTTGTCAATATCCACCTCCAATGTTGAAAACCATTTTGATCCAGATAAAGCATCCGAGGTAGAGTCTGTCCTGGGCAGTGCGTAAGCATCCTTTTTTGTGACTTCATTCACCATATGGTAGTCCACGCAGAACCTTGTGGATCTATCTTTCTTCTTCACAAGTACAATAGGTGATGCCCAAGAACTAGTATCTTGTTCAATTATGGCTTTTGTCTCTTTGAAACCATTCTCCTGTTCTGTAAGAGGGAGTTGTATGGCTAAGTGAAGTATTGGGACTGCATCTCCAGCGTCAATCAGAGGAGATAATTTATATGTTTGGCCAAACTCGCGAGGTCCACAGGAGACGATATTTTGATAATCAATGAGTAAGTCATGTAACATGTAAAACCTCCACAGCTCCAGTCATATAGCTTTTGTAAATGAGACAATAAGCTGCTATTATGTAAGAATTTGAAATCTGATTTCCTACATCTTGCTTCCAAGGTAAATAACTATTTCTAGTGTTCTTTGATGTAGAAATACTACCTTACAGCTTCACAGTTTGCAATGTCCCATTCAAACTTGACTCGAATTTCATGGTTTGTTGTGTTCACAGGCCTGATGTCGACATCTTTATTCTTTACATCTACGACAGTTCTTCCAAACAGTAATCTTTCAGTATATGCTGGAATGTTTGGCTCTATTATGCCCAAGTCACTAGATATAAGTTTATTCCTGATAACTCCTGGTATAACAATTTCACTTCTAGGTGATATAATGACTGCCGTTCTTTTTCTCACTGGAAGTACAACCTCTGGTGTATTTATTGCCATATAGTATACAGGGATTTTGTTATCATAGGTTGAAGCTATATGAAGACTAACCTTGCATCCATGTCTTCACATGAAGTCACCCAATATGCACTCTTTCTTGATGTCAATTAGACACACACACACACACATCATGAGGTGTGGAGAAACTTCCCACAATAAGGGTGTGTGTGTGTGTGTTTGTTTAGAACAAAGACACATCGGGCAATCTGTGTCCACCAAGTGGAATCGAACCCCTGATTTTAGCGTTGTAAATCCGTAGACTTACTGCTTTCTCAACGGGGGACCCAACAGTAAGGGAAACTTACAAAATTTCTCTCGTTAGAACCTCATGTCCACTAGATATTCGCATCAATCCATCTTATTATTCTTCTCTGGAGGCAATTTCCCATCCATTCCTTATTAAATTGGGTTAAACAATTGTAGTTGTGAAATCAGTTTCAGTAAACATACTGTAATACTTCCTATAAAAAAAAGAAACAAAAAACTGTGGACCAATGGTCTGATTTCTTTAAGTAATAAACTTCTTATCTCATTTGGGCAGATGGAGTATTCTCTGCTGAACTTCGCCGCATATGTACATTTAATCCCTGTTCCCCATGACTGATTAGCTCTTTATTGTTCTTTTGTTGTAATGGGGTCACAGCTGGCACAGCAGTAATGGTCACAGGTGTAGACCAAATAGGTTCTTCTATTCTGTATTTTATATTAAATGGCGTTTTAGATTTGAATTCTTGGGTTTATGCAGACAGAGGCATGGATAGTTTAACCTTTGCATTTACCAATTCATTTTCCGTATATTTTATCCTGTCATTGTTTTTCTTTTTGCATCTCATTGATTTTTTGTAGTTCTTGGATTTCGTCCTTATAATCTTTCTGCAACATCAAAGTATTTTTGCACTTAGCCTTTGACTTCACTTATGTGCTTTTGTACACCCTCAACCTTATTGTTGAAATTCCTTTGTACATCTCCGGTAACTTCGTTGATCTGGTGTTCAATCTTTTTTTTTTACTTTAATTCTTTTTTTTTGTAGTTAAGCGCAAAGATACACAATGGACTATCTGTGGTGTATCGAAACCCGATTTTTAGCGTTATATGTCCTCAGACATACCACTGGGGGAACTTTAATTCTCCTTCTTCTTTCTTTTAAATTAAATTTCTGTCTCTTTCTTCTTGGTCATCTTTTAATTGTATGCTTCATTGTTTTGAATTATTCGGTAAAAATAATGTTAAGCTCGGTCTGCTTACCGTTATCGAGCTAAATGATTTAGTTTATCATTTCGAAGTTAGCCCTCGAGTAGCTTGGTTGAAATACAGCAAACAAACAAATTTCCATGAAACTTCTAGACTTCACATAATTACTACATCATGTACAAAAGCACCCTCTAGTGAAGAAAACATTAAAATATTGAAAAGATAGCCTACAACAAAGCATGTTTTAACGTTGTTGGTTACTGAGGTTTCCCACTGATGCATTTCTTGATTAATTATATGATACACACACACATGCACACACACACACACACACACACACACACACACACACATATACAACCAAGTATAAAATACATCATATGGACTCTTTCAGCTATCTCAGAAATGTTATATTTAGAAAAACGAAGTTCTGTTTTTATCTTATTCTATTTTTTTATAGAATGATTTTATGATTTTCTCTCTCCAATAACATCCTTCATACAAAGATCACGGTTATACCAAAATCCCAGGAAAAAAAACACACGCTATGTGTCTAAGGCATTTATTCCCTTTTCTGCGTTTGAGGTATATGATTAAACGAGAACTGGCCTGAATAAGTTTTGTAAAAAAAACCAAAAAAAAACCTGTCTACGGTGTAGATTAGTTAAAAACGTTTGGTAAACACTCAAGAAATATACCCAAGTCCGTTGCTTCTATGTGGTATTAATGAACCTAATGACACGATTTGACACAAGCATCTAGTGTGTACAGGGACTTGCGTGTGCGTGTATCAGCACTTCCCCCTTGTCCTAGGTAATCAACACTAAATACATTTTTTATTAGGTAATCACTTTGGCACATTCCATCAGTGTCAGCTGGAACTGAACCTCCCGTTCCCCTAAGGAAAAATGACTAAACCTGAATTCCTGTGCATTTCCTTGGATTTGTAATTAAGTATTTAAAAGACACTTTAAACAGAAAGCATGTTTCTCGGGACTGTAGTAGTTTTTGTTAACATATTTTTAATTATACATTTCATACTGAAACTAAACATTTTATTTTCTAAGAAAGCGAATATATGCATCCACCTGCTCCTCCCCCCTGAATTCCTTGACTTCTGAATACTTCCTGAAAATGGTTCTTCATGAACGATGTTCTACGCTTAATTTGTTAGTTTCAAAGTTTGACAAAGTCTCAATCTTTAGGCTGTTGTATGTATTCTTCAAACCGGTGAGGGAATGATTATAGTGATAACCTTTTTTGAAACTTTTGGTATCATAACGTGCTAAAATAGTGATCAAATTACACTAAATATTATGGGACTCGTAAGGATATATCTTATAAACTTCTAGAACAAGATATAGTAATACTTATTAATAGAGGAACTAGCAGTTACCAAAGGCCCTGACAGCCAAAGTACATAAGACCGTGATTAGACCAATGCTTCTCTACGGATTTGAGACCTAGACCCTGAAGAAGAAAGAAGAAGGTTGTTTGATAAGAGCAGAAATGATATGCTGAGATGTCTGTTGGTAATGTCTGAAAGAGAAGATAACGAATAGAGAAATTAACGAAATTGCAGGAGCCTGTGCAAAAGAGGAAAAGGCAAGAGAAGAAAGACGGAGGTGGTTCGGTCACATGAAGAGAAGAGAAGAAGAAGAACAAGAAATAAGGATTGCATTAGGGCTGTCAGTAGCAGATGAGAGAAGACAGGGAAGGCCAGTAAAGCGTTGGAAGGATGGGATTAAAGAAGACATGAACGAGAAGGTAATTTCAGAAGACCTGGCAATGAATAAAGATGATTGGAGGAAGGCAATACGTGTGAAGGACGGCGACCCCTGCTAAAGGGAAAAGCTGAAGAAAATTAAGAATAGAGGAGCTAACATAATGAATCCGAATTAAACTTAAGCAGTGTGCATTTATGTTCTAAACAAAGATAACAGGCTAGCTTGGTTAGCTCCGAAGAAGATATTTTACTTAGTAGACTAGGGTTGGATGACATAGCTGCCATCTGTAGAGCATTTCGCACACTACGGAGTAGATATATATATATATATATATATATATATATATATATAACAAAAACAACTAATAAATAGA